TCTACCAACCATGTGTTTCAATGCTTCCAAAACTTCTCTCCTCTCAGTCTCTCTTAAACATGTTCCCTACTCTCCTCAACTGATTTTTTATTCTTTCCCCCTTCGTTCCACAAGTTCTCTCTTCCTCCTGGCTTTATCTATAAATTCTTCTCTCTTTTGGTCCCGTTTTATCTCTACACTTGCCTCTCGCTCTGCTCGCAAATTTGGTTTCCTATTCCACGCAATGGATTTCTTTACACCCAAGCACCTTTTATACAAAGCTCAAATCCGCTCGATGCTTGAATACTACAGTCACGTATGGGGTGGGACTTCGTATTCCGCTTTTCTCTCCTCAACTTAAAGCCATCCGGATGATCGACGAACTNTGTCATTAACTTCCAACCTGCAGTCGCTTTCCCATCGCGGGGCAGTTGCTTCGTTATCCCGAGGACTGCGAAATTGTGGGTCACACTTCCCATTTCCGTGTTTCCTAGCTCTTATATTCTTAATCTTTTCAAAATCAGGATTAACAAATTGGTTCTTACTTGAGTGCTCCCCCTTACAGTATATGATCGATTATGGGATCTACCCCTTTTGCTGTAAATCACTTCGTGTGTAATAAAAAAATGCGCCTGCGCGTCCCATAGGACGGGAGACACTGGGCCTTCCTTATCAGATGAACGTCTCACTTCGTCCGACGGCAACCGCGATCGGGATCTAGGAGTCATCATCTCTCATGATGAAGACCCAGATCAACACCGTGCGAGCGTGTTCTGCGGCAAGGAGCATGCTAGGTGCAATCCGTCGGTCGTTCGACGGCCTGTCGATCATGGCCTTCAAGAAGCTGTTCGCCCCCATCTTGAATATGGTGGATCCGCTGTATACCCCTGCACGCTTTGTGAAATGGCCAACTTGGAACGGGTACAGCGTCATGCCACTCGACTAGTCGCGGGATCGGCTATGAAGGTTGGCTCCAAGCACCTGGACTCTTCCCGGTTAGCTACAGGGGACTCCGAGGGGATTTGATCCATCTGTGGGATATTCTTCGTGGCAATCTGGGACCGGAATTAGGTGTTGTGTCGCCACTACGAAACTGCAACCAGACACGCCGCCACAAGCTCACTCTCCAGAAGCTGGAGTTGAGGGAGCTTCCTTTGGTTTTTCGCTTTTCCCGGTGGGCAACCATCCTATGGAATTCACTCCCGTCGGTGATAGAGGAGCAGAACGAGGCGCGATTCAAACGACGTCTCGGCGAGCACTTGGTGAGACGGTTGCAAATAGCAGACTGGTGAGCGGGTTGCTGTCGGTGCCGGTGGTGAAGAGGCTCAAACGGAGCGCGGCCCCTCTGCCTTTTACGCATGAAGATGAATTTTTCATCACTGTGGAGGTCGCACGTTTCACTGTGTGGGCCAAGTCTCTACCACCCAACCATATGATTTACTTCACCTTAACACTATAGGGAGAACATAACTTGAATCTACACATTTTGAACAAAATATAGTACACTGAGAGGCCAGCCTAGTGCGAACGTACACACAAGATACGGTTGTAATGCATGTGTAACTTCTACAGAAGTTACACCACGTAGCGCATCGACCGGTTACAAAGAGCTACATAAGCTACATCAGCTACATTTGTTATTAAACATAAATCAAACTTTTTAAACACGTTTATCATAACTCTTCGGTTTGAAGACTCATTTTGATGATTAATTTAATCAAATTACTTATTTTTCGGTTGCTTAATTCCGTAAAAAGTACGTTCTAATCAGTGCGTAAAATGTGCTGAAGTCCATGGCGAGATAGTAAATCCATGTGAAAATGTAGGGTAAATAGGGGATTTGAGACGAGACAAGGCGGAAAACCAAAAGACGGCCGTTTTTTGCAGAATATACCGGTATGTTCTGCAATGTAGCTCATTGTACCCGACTAATGGGCTGCAAATGCGTTAATATTTTGGTGCCGTAACTCATTTAGAGCTCAACTGTAGCCGGTTATTAACGCACCATTAGCCAACGACTTGCTACCTGGGTAGCTGTGCCCAATAATGTCCGTTGTTCACGGGGAGCTCCATAAAATATTTTCGAAACACTTTCAACCACACTCGATCGCGAGGTATGCTCGTGTTTTCTTGAAACAATGGAATACTTTGTGTAGTTTCCACCACCTGTGGTAGGGAATGTTGAACGGATTAGGTTAGAGTTACCAGCAGTTGTGCACATGTTTAATACCTTGTCAAACAAATTCCATGAAAATCCGGGCGTTAAATAGACATTTGAAAGGATGGAATAACATTAACAGGGCTCAAACCTCCATATAAGTTCAGTACTTATTTAGGGGAATAAACTAGAAATAAACAGCATGTTACGTAATTTATCATGTGATCTTGAACACCTTTGCCATGTTCATAAAGACCTCAGCACAGGTAGGACACTTAACCAGTTACATTCGTTGTTTTTTATGCAATAAAATGTCCATCGAGATTTGGATTAAACTACGATGGTAAATAAACTTGTTTTTAGAATGATTACTCGGATTATTCTCCGATCAAACTGGATAATAAAAACATCACTAACAAATCGGTAGATATATCACAAAAGACACTTACCATCCTTCGGATGTTAACAATCAAGGATTTCGACCGGTGGGTTTCTTTTGATCGTTATCTCAAAGTGGAAGAAGTCATTTTTCTGTAAGTAAGGACACCGAAGCCTTTGTCGATGCTCCCGAATTTACTGAGCACGCGCCTCAAAATGAAAACAGGTCATAAATCCGTTGCGTGCATTACCGATTTTAGACATCACCGCAAACTTGTGGATTATATTTTATGATGTTAAGCTGAAATGTTCTGCGATGTTCCACGTCATTCCTGTCACACAATGAGGATATAAGGAAAAATGCTGACTTTCCCAAATAATATCTTACCAAATATAGTCATGTTACTCTTTCGTTTTTGGCAATAATCAGTTTTCGCCTAACCGGTGTTTCCACCATTACGATCACTTCGTAAGTACAAACTCCTCTTCATTGGTTTCTTTATTTTCCGGTAGGTTTCATGGCGGCGATTGCAACTCATCGCACTCCCATAAGCATACTCCAGGAAGTCTGCGTTAAAAAAGGAATAACACCTGTTTACGAACTCGTCTCCAGCGAAGGACCGATTCATGAACCAAACTATGTATTTTTATGCACTGCAGGCCCATTTAGTGCCACTTCAAAAGGTAAATAAACCGATTTTTCTGAAATACGGTACCAGGAGCCAGTAAGAAGAAGGCGAAACATCAAGCCTCCTACTTAGTTCTTTTGAAAATGCTTGCAAGTTCAACTATGACAGATGCCGAAAAAGCTGCACTTAGAGACCTACATCATTCAGCTGCAAATCTTCTGGGATCTGACTTTTTGGACGGACTTGAAATGGACGACCCTGAATTTGCTGTTTATCGAATGCATCGTGAGGAGGAGAGCAATTTTGTGGGACAGTTGCAAGAACTTTGCCAGAAGAACACCTGGCCACCACCTACTTACGAGTTTATCACGATGTCACACCCTATCCCAGTAATGCACGAATATCACTGTAGAGTTCGCTTGTGGAAGTGGGTCTGCGAAGGTACTACAGTTTCTCTTTGTGAAACAATCTGTATCCAAAAGGTTTCGGCAAATCCAAAAAGCAAGCTAAGCGACATGCTGCCGGGGCGCTACTTGAACGTATCGTAGCACGCAATCTGACCATTCCTCCCGAAGCGTTAGAAACAATGGAAGAAGAGAATCTCTCTTTGGTAAGGCAATCCTGCTAAGGTATTTTTAACTCATTGAAGCTAAGCAAAGAAGAAAAGGCATGCACTCATGAACCAAAGTCAATCGCGGAAAGTGAGACGCGACTATCTGCTAAGGCACTGCGCTGGCTGTGCGATTCGAAAGGAAACAAAATACAATTCCAGAGTTCCGATACCGTGGATGGTCTGTGCGATCCGTGCGCGAAACTAGACGAACTTGCAGAGAAGGCCAAAATTAGTGCAGTCTATACCTATGTGCACAATACAGAATCAGGTGAGTTCCTCTGGTTATCAAACCAGAAAGAATGTTTTTGGGGAATAGTATCGATCTGCTGCTACTCAACCTCGCATAGTAGACTGCATTATTCTTGTCTCTAGCAAATTTTTTGCCAGATCAATCGGAACAGTAATGATTTTGTGATTCAGTTTTATAGCGTTGTATCTCGACTAGGTAACAAGACTGATAGTCCGTATGTCTTCTGCTATGGTAAAACTGTTTCCCTCATGAGGATCACAGATTTGACTCAAGTAGCATCAATTATGCATAAATAATTTTTCAATGAATTCGTGAGCATTCGTCATCATCGTACAGCGAGATACAGTGAAGCGAACTTCGCTAATCGCTGCCAAGCTCACAAATTAGGTGATAAAGTACAAGATTGAGAGGGATTGGGCATATTTGGAGGGCGGGAAAAAATGAACCTCAATGGTCAACGGACAGACTGCAAAGTGATACAACAAGATTTGGTGTCAGAGTTACGTTATGAAACTGTATGGTCAGGAATTAGCTGAAGTTGACTGCCTCTCTTAGGTAGCTGCGTGACCAACGACGATAGCACATCATTTCCAACGCTCGAGCAGCGTACACAGGACTTAGAACCTGTGGCGTCGACGTTTAAGAGTCGCGTATACTACGCCACTGTACGACCAGTTATGAGACCTTGAATTTGCGAGTGGACGACACTTCGCCTAGTGGTTTTCGACAATCGATGCTTACGTAGTCTGGCCCAGGTTGGCTGGAGTGAGCGGGTTGGTAAATTATAAGTTTCGTCGGACGTTTGGGAATGCATCGAACAAGAACTCGCTATCGCATCGAATCCAGCTCAATAGCTCCGTTGGTTAGGACACGTTTTGCGTATGCCCGACGGTCGCCTACCGCAGTGGCTGTTGCAGGTTGGAGAAAGCTAAATGCAGACCTGAAGAAATGCACAGTGCAATTAGGTAGAGTGTCTCTGATCTTCCGGGTTGGGGTCCAAAAGACTCCGTAACCGCATGGTTGGAGACACTGAAGGTCAT